CACTCTCTCTCTCTCTCTCTCTCACTCACTCACTAATATATAAATCATAGCAATATATAACTTAAATAACTTAATCCTGACATTAATTTGATTATTTTCAAACTATTGTGAGTTAAATCAGACAAAACTATATTTATAATCAATTTATTAGACCATAATATAAAGTGAAAGAATGTATAAACCTATATATTCCATAGAGGTGGCTTTAATAAAGTTAGAGTTGGGCGCTAATAATGGCCACCAATCGATGTGATGAAGAATAGCGCTTCGCAACGGTATTACAGTAGTGGCCAATGGCTTGGGCTGACCACTACTGGTGCCTGAGTTCTCCCATATGCTTATCTCTAAAGCCATATCTTCAACCTTTCAAATAATAAACATTGCATTAGTTATAATAAGTTATATCAATATTTAGTTTTTAGCTAAATATAATTGCAAATTAATTTAACAATCATTATATAACTGATGATTAATGAGTTTTATAAATAGATTGCTTCATAAAGTCAAAAACTACACTGTCTTCTATATAATGTATATACTGCAATGCATACTTCATCCAAATGTTAACACAAATAAAATATCAGTTATATTCTGGAAATGTCTCAAACTCTAAATTTTCCTCAACTCCTAAAGTATAGAAAAAGGGCTTTATTTGAACTAAAATTGATATCTCGGCCACAGGCCATACATATCTTTATTGAATGCCAAACAGGGAACCCAACAAACATTAGCCATACCTTATCGATGGGAAACTGTTGAAAAATGAGTGTCTCGTTCCACTCCAGAGTAAGGCTCGGCTCAGTCTTACATATTTTGAAACCACTGGTTATGTGAATCAAAACAAACAATTAATATATTATTAGCAATTAATTGTTAATATTGTTTATATGAACACACAAAGCAACATTTCAAAAATGATTTGAATAGCATTTGATGGAATTTAGCATTTTGTGTGTCATATAAATAAATGTTTGCTATAAATGACATACAGTTCTGGCAATATATGCAACTGAGCATAAGAGGGTGCCTTCAGTCCGACCACCCGTTTGGCACAAATCATGCCAATCGTCAGCTGTTTGTGATCGTTATCGAGAGAGCACTGGAGCAGAATCTCTCCCTGTTTGGTCTCTTGGCCCGCGTTTAGCATCGATTCTGGTGTTCGCGGCAAACGTCGCCGACTCGAGGCACTGCCCGCCTGACCGCCAGTCCCACCGCCGATGGACGACAAATCAATTGATGCCTGGCTTAGCATTTGACTCAATCGCCGCCTTTGATGAACAAAGTGGCCGTTGTTTTCACTATAGTTTTCATATAAATGAAAATCGCATTAATGTTTGTTTAGAAATATAATCGTAAATTTAGTGTAAATTTTTGTCTATAAATCTTGAAAACTAAAAAATAAACTCAAATTGTTTTTCTCTTTAAATGGTTTTGAGAATTGAAAAAACAGTTAATGTTTTTCAAGTGATAAAAGATTTCAATGTATATACAGTATAGTAACCATTTATTAGAAATTTAATGACAAAATAAATCTTTAGAAACAAATGTTGTTTTCTTTCAATTTTTCAGTTTCGACATAATATTTGTGTCAATAGTTTTATTGCCAAACAAATACTGTTAACTACTTATAAGCCTATTGTGTGCCCACTTTTAACAACTATAATTCATAACTACCGGTAAATTATTATACAATAATATTCATAGATTTATAGACCTCTTGTTATAAACATGTTTCCTATAAATTATGAACAATAATAAATATGAAACAAACCTCTTAACCATAGACTCAATGATCAATTCTGCCGTATCTGATGAACACTCAATGGTATGGCAGACCTGTTCATAGCTACAGTTGACGAGAGACTTTCCGTCCCATTCAAGGATCTTATCGCCGGGTTTGAGTGCCATCTTGTCTGCGGGCCCTCCGGGTTGTGTCCACGCGACGTATGCGTACAGATTGCCGTCCGATTCATTCATTTTACCCCCGATCACACTTAACCCGAAACCGCGGGTCCGGTTACTGTGGTCACTCTCGTCCCGGTGTAAAATCACGCGCTCAAACTGTGTCACCGAATTACCACGCGCTGAGTTGCGAGAGTCCACGTCATCGATCACAATACGTATGTTCTCGCCCTCGGGTGCGGACGCCCGTCGCGGCTGATCCATAGGCAAGTCAAGCGAGTGGGAGGAGCTCTTGCGAGAGTGCGGCAGATCTAACATAGATCGCGACGGCTCCACAGGAATCTTAGGCAATGCCCGGCCCGTCGACCCGCGCCTCGGAAAACAGTCTTTAAGCGTGAGGTGATTGGTGTCGACCACGTCTACTAACACAGATGGTATGGACCGGCGCTGTGTCTGGAGATGTGGATAAGTGGGCAAACCCAACATATCTGAGTCGGCCGACTCTCGGGGCGAACGCGAGTATTCCGATGACGGGGTCAGCGATTCTGGCGGAGGACTAAACCTAAAACAAGAGTTATTTGTATTATTTATGAGTTTCATGAAAATAGTAGAGATGTGCCAAACCTCATGTCACTGACATCAGAACTCTCGGAACTCTTGCGAGTCTGATAGCCGTTATTACGGGTGTATATCATAGCGTCAGATGAAATGTGCCGCAAATGTGTCTCATTGTTGGCCACCAATTGGTTATTAATATTGTTATTACTATTACTATTCATATTATGATTATTATTATTGATGTTATTATTACTTTGGACGACCAGATCGTCATCATTGGTAAGCGAACGCTTCTGGCGGTGAATCTTGGACTTGCGAGACCTGTGCCGACGATGATGTCCGGCGCCGGGCGTACGGCTCATACCATCGTTGCCCTCATCGCCGGACGACTGGTCGGAAACCGAATAGGATTTGGTGCGGAAACACTCGTCGCGTGACTTAAAGCCCGAATCGCTGGTCGGAAAGCCGTGCGAATGGTGTGTCTGAGGGCCGACACCGGCCGAGTCGTTGGACGACCGGCGACTGTCCGATAAGGCCTCGGATGAGGCGTACCGTTCGGATGGCATTTGTCCGTAACGGTCGGGTGGACTGGAGGGCCGCGAATGTGACCGATGAATGTTCTGCGCGTTGCAGCCTTTGTGGCCGTAACCCAGCGAAGACGTCGCCTCCAACGAGTGCTGTCTCGGCTGATCCGTCAACGATGGCCGACGCTATCATTCACATCATGGGTTCATAGCATTAGTCATTAAACATAACATAATATTATTATTAGTTATAATAAACACATACTTTAGTGACGGGTGATATGGGGGGCACATTAGACGAGCCCTTGGATGCACCCATACCTCGACTCGAATCCCCCGATCCGTACCTCTGCTGTAGAATCGGTACATCAGTTATGGTTTAGTTTATACTTAATTACAATTATTATTAATTAAATATAAAAATTAAAAAAATGTTAACTGTTATCATTTATTGTGAAACACGTACACATATACTGTACATGTATTTTCATGTGTTTTATGAATAATTATCATTAAATACTGTAACAATATTTTGGTAAATATTTGAAACCCTTTTCGTCCTTTTCTTAATACAATTACCGCCTGTTTGACAGGTTATGTCCAATAATGCATTCAAAAGCTAACCAAACAGTTGCTTATAATAATAATAAGTCATTTATAGTACGAGTAATCAATTGTAATTATACTAAATCTTTTTTTTCTGATAATAATGAACTGTATTTATCAAAACACAAACCATTCGGCTAAAGGATGGCGTCCTCTTCATAGCCAAAGGCTCGATTGCACCAGTAGTTGGGATCAAATGAGAGCCCCGTCTCCTACAGAAGCTACACATCCAATACTATAACAATATTTAATTCATTATATATGAGTAAAAATTGTATCATTTTGTCATCAATTCATATGAAATGTATAATTAAAATAATGATAGAATTACTTTTGATTCATCACGTGATGAATAGGATGAGCAGTCGTCGCATACAAATTGATGACAATTACTACACGTATGAAAGTTTTCGTCCTCTTCGATGGCTTTCCTACATATGCGACAATTGCCAACTGCTTTGCGCTCACACTCCTCTTCCACCGGCATTATTAAGTCACTCGCTTTCAAACTGCAATTTTAATTCAATTTCATCCAGGGTTACTTTTGATTAATATGCATTTACAGTATAATACGATCATAATGACTTTTTATAATTAATTAATTTATTTATTTGTGATAAATTAAATGGTCTAAATTTTAAGGCTTAAATATATGAAAGTATTTTTGTACATAACTAATATAAATTGGAAGTACTGTATAGTATACAGTGTATACTAATTCAAATAAGTAAATTGGATAGTTTTTTAAATTGCAATAATAATGCTAATAATATAATTATTATTTTATTTTAACTAATTTGAATTGAATTAAATACTATTTTTAATTAGAAATAAATAGTATAGATTTGAGGAATAAATGCTCTGATGAAAGAATTGTAATATTATACAGTATATAATGATAAATCATATGATGCCAATTAAATATAATTTTAGAGTAACGAAATATAGTTAATTTTATATTTATTTTTATATAAGAATTAAATTTCTAAATACTTCTATACATTATATGAAAAGCACACGGAATTTACGCCTACGATATGTATTCATATTAAAAACCATCCATTCGTTGCAAAACTATTTTATAAATGATATTAAAATACTAACATATTCTATATATTCCATCATGCATAATCACATGATATTTCTGTATATTCCAATAGTCTTATTACTTATTATATTATTTATTATATAATTGTTATATATTTTGGTTTGAGAATAGATGGGGAATCATTTTAAATATTTTATTCCCAATATGGAATAGAAATTCTAATTTAAAATATATGCAGTATAATCTTTTATAATTATTATTTTTGTTATTACAATCATGGTATTTGATGTGGAATAATTTAATAAATTCTATATCTGTAAACGCAGTAAGTTATCAATTTGTATTTATAGGTATCATGATTTGTATCATGACTTTGTACTTTAGTAATAAACTATACTAATGAATTTCTATACTTATTACTAAAGCTGTTCATAATATGTTTTTAAATATATTTATCGGTTAAAGATATATGTTTGGGACTTTGGGGGCAAACGAATTACGTAATAAGGGTTATTTTAACAAAGTTTTATTTTACATATAAATACATATCTGACTTATAAATAAATATAAATACATATTCGGCGATTAAGCATAAAAATCATTAATTTACTTGAAATTCATGGTTTAAAATGTCTAAATATATATTAAATTGTAAAATAATTTCTAAAAGTTGATTAATAATGAATTAAAACAATAATAAATACTTGTATGAAATTATGTAATACGTAATGATGGGATAGTATATCATTAGTTTGACTTGGAAACAATTGATATAATTTAAATATATATTATGACTTTAATTAACACTATTTAAATATGATTTAAAAGGCTATCAAACATTTCTAGCATAATATTTCGTTATTTTGTCCATAGAATACATTAATTAGAATTTATATTAAATAATGAGATTTATAAATAAATATTTAAGTAAATATTTGACCCCTTTTTAGTAAATATATAAGCACATATTTGACTATTTTAAATAAATATTATATAACATATTTGACCATGAATAAATACATATTCTGAACAGCTTTACTTATTACTAGTAATATATTTTCGACTATTTACAATTACATTTAAGTATGACTGTCTTTGTTCCATATGTTTAAAATGTTGATTTATTATTTATATTACTAGATAATTTATTCATCAAATAAAATATACGCATTTTTAGGAAAGTTAAAATTTAATAGAAAATAGTTATTTTGAAGAATATGTTTTACCTCGGGGAAAATAACTATATATTTATCTAAACAAATATTTTTATTGAACCAAACATTTTGTTAACTTATGCGTTAGTTTTGCGTCAGAGAGAGAGAGAGAGAGAGAGAGAGAGAGAGAGAGATTTGATGTAGAAGTCAATATACAGTATATGTTCACTATAATAAGTCGTTCATATATACTTATATTACAGTACAGTATATATCCGGCGATTAAATTAAATGAAAGTAAATTCTGATGGGCTTATAAAATACAGTAAAGATATACTGTATAGTTATAGTCATACCATATATTATATAGACTTTCAACGAATAAATAGGTTTCGACACATCCGGCTATTTATAGTAATAATGTTATAGTTTTGTGATTTTAAAATTATAATTTTTCATAATATGTTTGGTTAGAAAAAAATATTTGATTTCTGAAAGACATTACAAAACTCGAGATTTTTAACGGATTGTTCAATAATTATTATAAAATTTAGAGCTTGTAGCTTTTTAAGCATTAATTAGTTTATTAATTAGTGTTTATTATTAAAGAACCTGATCTAAAATCTAATAGGCGATGGGCTAAAGTTGGCCTCAATAAGTTAAATGTATATTCTTAACCCCCGTAAATAAAGGATTTCATTGAATATATATATATTTCATTGTTTATATAACATAAAAAGCCTGTTAACAAGAATATCATTATTTATTTAAATTTAATTTTGAAACTAAAACTATATTTTATTTTTAAACCCCTAATGTTACAATCTATTCTGTAATAATATGTGTTGAGATTAGAGTGACCAGGTGTACACTATTAGGCAGCAGTGTACACTATTTTGACTCTCTGTACACTATTTTTATTTTGTACACTATTGTACACTATTTGATCACAAAGAAAAATGAACCCAAAAAAATAAAAAATTTTATAAAACATTTTGTTTTGTGTAAATGCATTTCTAGTAATGAACAACAAATCATGTTTTAAGAGTGTAAAAAATTATAGACAATTGGTAATTCAAAATATTTAACAGAATAGTGTGCAAATGTTGTCATAAACATGATTAAGAGCACATGTTTGATTATTCTAATATAGAACTGTTAAAATGTGTTAATTTAATTCCAAATATAAAGTTATGTATCAATATTATTAATATAATGACATTTGAAATCAAAATTTTGAAATAAATATTGTGTACACTATTTGTACACTATTTTGACCAATATTTTTAGCTTTTGTACACTATTATGATTTGCCCACCTGGTCACACTAGTTGAGATGCTTCATTACTGGTCAATTTATGAAACCATTTATAGTTTATTAAAAAACAATATGTGAATCTATTACATATTCATTGATGCAATAATTTAAAATTTTTTTAGATAAAGGGTTGTTATTTTAGATAATAATAATTTAATATTTCACAACTTATATATTGTATGGTAGTTTTGCATTAATATAATATTCTTATATACACATGGATATATTTATGTTATTTTATGCACCATTACCTTCAAAGCCAATGAACTAATGGCGTTTAAACTAAAAAGTTGATTTATGATTATAATTAAAGTTTGAATTTGCATTTTCAATATGTGTTTTATTCTCTGTGGGTTTAATTTTCAATGAACAAATGGTTTGTTATATACCTGTTATTATGTATTTGAATCTCGAGTGAATATATTTCAGATTTAGCATAAAAATGTGATATTTTGCAACTCAGATCGATTATAAGTTTAATACAAGTATAGTTTGTATACAAATGATTGCCATGATTTTGAACAACCGCTTTGAACGATCGCTTTACATTTATATATTATATAAAATTTAAATCACAAATAGAGAGAGAGAGAGAGAGAGAGAGAGAGAGAGAGAGAGAATATAGAGTATGTATCCACTTATATGATGGACTAAAATCACTGCTATTTATTCAATCAATACAATACCCATAGAAAGAGTGCTGGTATTGTTAAACCACTTGAAACATACACAATACACACATATATATGAGNGAAAGAAGAGATATCATATTTATTTGAATATTGGAACAAATTTTTA